CTGATCATGTGCAACATTAAACTGCTCAAGTATGCCACCTACTGAGGAAATCCTGACTCCCATCATTAGTTGCCATGCAATTTAAGCTCCATTTATGTTTATTCTATGATAGAAATTGCTCTAAAGCTGTTAATATGCAGTGCAGTAACAATGACATAACAATGCAGTGCATCAGTATTTATTAAAGTAATGCAACATGTCAGGTCATTTAATTAAATATTCACACTTCACAGCTTTATTAAACAGATGTTGAGACAACTATAAGAATAGGATGTAATTCCATCTAATGAGCATTACATGGCTTACCCAGAATGCCCCTCTAACTGTCTCCAGGGCGTTGCGGGTGAGGAAGAAGATGTCAGGTGAGCGCATGCCGGTGAAGATGATTGGTGACATCCTGACGGCTCAGCTTCCTCACATGCAGCCTTACATCCGCTTCTGCAGCTGCCAGCTCAACGGCGCCACCCTCATTCAGCAGAAGACAGACGAGGTGCCTGAATTCAAAGAGTTTGTCAAGGTGAGACTAGCAAACAGGCAATGGGTTAATCAAATGTGATGCTTAAATTAAGTTTTTTATTCAAATGTCCACTTTCCTTTTTTATTGTGATATTGTTTGCACATTTTTCTTCTGTGTATTTCCTGTTTATCTCTGTGCAGCTGGTTTGACACAATCTGTATTGTGAAAAGGGATATAAAAACTAGAGGCTTGCATAGTTCATATTTTATGCATGTATTTTTTTTTTTTTTTATCTTTATGCATGTTTGTATGTTTTACAGAGGTTGGCGATGGACCCTCGCTGTAAGGGAATGCCCCTGTCCAGTTTCCTCCTCAAACCCATGCAGAGAGTCACCCGATACCCCCTCATCATCAAAAACGTATGTACACAATCTTGATAATCAACTATTTCCAAACTACTATATGAAGAACCGGTAACACATTTAAAACAAACACTACAAAAGCACATAAACCATCTGCACTCTTCTACTTTGACATCACTTCCCTTTGGCTTCATGTATCTAGACCCATCGTCTCATGTTTCTTCTCCCCTCACGCTCAGATTTTAGAGAACACTCCAGAAAGCCACCCAGACCACAGTCACCTGCGGCTGGCTCTGGAGAAGGCTGAAGAGCTGTGCTCACAAGTCAACGAAGGCGTGCGAGAGAAAGAAAACTCAGATCGGCTGGAGTGGATCCAGGCACATGTGCAGTGTGAGGGGCTGTCAGAGGTAACACGAACCTGGTGCATTATCACAGTCCATAGACAGGCTCACTCAGTGAAATAAACCTGTTTTCACTGGATTGCATTTAATTAGCTTTTCAAGAGACTATTTTTGTATGTACCAGTAAAAAAAAAAAAACATGAAAGTGGTGCAATAGTTGTCATCATTCTAAAGTTTGAGGTTGAGATGATTTTTTAAATGTTTTTGAAAGTCTCTTATGTTCACCAAGGCTGTATTTATTTGATCAAAAATA